TCAACGCTCCGTCCCCCTCGTGCTCTAATCCAAAGGCCCGAAACCTTTCAGCTCGAGTTACAAAACCGTTTTCAGTGCCTAGAAGACTGCAATGAAGTGGACGATATGAATGACAAGCTCATGGAAACTGTCCAAGCGGTCGGAGCTAAGTTCTGCAAGACCCGCCGCAGAACAACACAAAAACTCCGATCACAGTCTCAATCTCATGGCTGTTAGACGGGAGATAAAGCTACATTCTTTAAGAGATTTGACAGCATACAGGCAACTGAACAGACAGATCTCCAAATGCATGCAGCGGGACTTACGCAACTTCAATACAGCTTGTATTGAAGAAGCGCTCGAGCGAAACCAAGGCTCCAAAGTCTTTGCCAGAGATCTGTCTGCCAGAAAGAGCCAACTGTCAAAGCTGAAGACCGAGTGTGGCAGCATCGTTTACGGGACACCTGAGATTTTGGGTGAGATTGAGAGGTTCTATGGGCAGCTGTACACGTCATCGTTGGAGCCACGCGCAAGTGTGAGTAACGATCCAAGAGCGAGTCTTATCCGACACTATTCCGAAGATATCCCGGACATTAGTCTGAGCGAGATTAGAATGGCTCTCCAGCACCTTAAAAACGACAAGGCCCCAGGCGAGGATGGAATTACAGCGGAGCTTCTGAAAGCGGGTGGAAGACCGGTACTTGAAGTCGTTCAGAAGCTCTTTAATTCCGTTTTCGATGGTGGCATTACACCGGAGGCGTGGAGAAGAAGTGCGGTGGTCTTGTTCTTCAAGAAAGGTGACAACGCTCTCTTGAAGAACTACAGACCGATTTCCCTTCTGAGCCGCGTTTATGTGCTGTTTTCGAGAGTCATTATGAATCGTCTCGCGCGCAGACTAGACGACTTCCAGCCTCCCAAACAAGCCGGCTTCCTAAAGGGCTTTAGCATCATAGACCACATATATACCCTTCGGCAAATTGTACAGAAGTCCGAAGAGTACAATTTGCCACTATGTCTGGCGTATGTGGACTATGAGAAAGTCTTTGATTCCGTCGAAATTTGGGCGGTGCTGCAGTCCCTTCAGCGGTGCCAAGTTGACTGTCGGTATATCGAAGTGCTGAAGTGTTTGTACAGTAGAGCTACGATGGCTGTCCAAGTACAGAACCAGAGTACGAAACCTATCCAATTACAGAGAGGTGTAAGACAAGGTGATGTTATATCTCCGAAACTCTTCACCGCTGCATTGGAAGACGTTTTCAAGCTTCTGGACTGGAAAGGATACGGTATTAACATCAATGGCGAGTACATCACTCACCTTCGATTTGCCGACGATTTGGTCCTTATGGCAGAATTGCTGAAGGACCTAAGCACCATGTTCAATGACCTCAATAGTGTCTCCCAACGAATAGGTCTTAGGATGAACATGGACAAAACAAAGATCATCTTTAATGTCCATGTCACACCTATGCCGGTAGTTGTTGGGAGCACTAAGCTCAAAGTTGTTGACGAGTATGTTTACCTAGGACAAATAGTCCAACTAGGTAAGTCCAACTTGGACCGAGATGTCAATCGACGGATTCAACTCGGCTGGGCAACGTTCGGGAAACTACGACACATCTTCTCGTCAGACATACCTCAAAACCTTAAAACGAAATTGTACAACCAGTGCGTGTTGCCAGTGATGACTTACGGATCTGAGACGTGGTACTTCACTGCTCGCCGTATGAGGAAGTACAAGGTCGCTCAGCGAGCTATGGAGAGGGCTATGCTCGGGGTTTCTCTGCGTGATAAACTTGGAAATGAGTATACCCGCAGTAGAACCAGAGTAAACGACATAGCCCAACGGACTAGTATGCTGAAGTGGCAGTGGGCCGGCCATGTAGCTCGAAGAACCGACAACCAATGGGGAAGAAAGGTTCTTGAGTGGCAGCCTCGTACCGGTAGGCGAAGTGAAGGGCAACCCTCCACGAGATGGAGTGACGACCTGGTAAGACATGCAGGAATTCGATGGATGCAGGTGGCTCAGGACCGTCCTTTGTGGCATTCCTTGGGGAAGACCTATGTTCAGCAGTGGATTTATGAAAGGCTGTAATGATGATAAATGATGAATAACCCCTGGGAATGAGGTGGTCGTTTCCAAGCTATATCTAAAATAGATTTTGTACTAACCATAAATGTAAAATATGCTTTTTTTAAAATAGTCCTGCTGGGTTTCTTGCTGGTTCTTTTCAAGATAGAGGTTTTCTTTCGAACCAGTGGTAAAAAAAAATGACTTTCAATGAGAATTACACATGTGATCTATATTGAATAAAAAATTATTCTATTCTATTCTATTCTCGATGCAAAATCAAAATGCAACTGCGTTGTCACCCCTGACTACTGAAATGGAATGCTACGTTTCCAGTAAAAAGGGTTTCCAGTTCTCTACACTCACCATACGAAACACAGCAGCACTACTCTGCCATTTTACGCTGGTATTCTGTGAGAGCGTGGTTCCACACCGGTCGACCCGACCCATTCATGCTACAAATATAATAGCTGCAATATGACTCTACCACGTCTAAATATTCTTTAAACATATTAGTTTAGATTTTGTCTCGTTTAATTTTATTATTCTTATTTTTTTTTATAGTAGAGGGGGCAAACGAGCATGCGGCTCACCTGATGGTAAGTGACTACCGCCGCCCATGAACAACTGCAACACCAGGGGAATCGCTGATGCGTTTCCGGCCTTTTAAAACGGAGTAGGCTCTTTGCTTGAAGGTCCCTAAGTCGTATCGGTCCGGAAAAATCGCTGGTGGTAATCGATTTCACAAGGAAGTTGTGCGAGGGAGAAAACTTCTTTTAAATCGCTCAGTGGTGGACCGCCAATCATCCAGATGATATGGATGGTATCATGAGTTTTATCGCGATGTGCGATGGTGAAATTGAGCGGCTGGAATTAGTCCGAACAATTCCTCATAGCACTCTCCGTGGTAGATGCGATAAAATACGCAAAGAGATGCAACATCTCTACGCAGTGCCAGTGCGTCAAGCCGATCGGAAAGAACTCGGTCGTCGACGATTCGAACCGCTCTGCGCTAGATGCGGTCAAGTGGAAGGAGCTGGCACTGGGGAGCCCCTGCCCAGAGATGGGAACAACCCACGACCTCCCATGGCCCCACCGACCCTCAGGTCATACGGGCCGAATCTCGGGAGATGCACGCGGTACTTGCACGTGGCTCTTTCCCGCGCACACTTTCTTGACTCCCTACAAATATTTAATCTTTTCCTTGTCCCAGTTTAACGTCATTCTCCCCCTTCTGGGGCTGACAACACATTGACGCCTACGTCGTCGGGCCCTCCTACCAGCCTTCCATCCTACCTTGTCCAGCGATCGTGCCACCTATGCGAAAACTCGCGCAACAGTCCGTAGTTTACCACATCGCTGACGAGATCTGAGTAGTAAACTGGTCCCTGAACCGGACTCCACTGCCTTCGCCCATCTATGAGTTAGGTAACCTAGAAGAGCACCATCACCAAGGAGGCGATAGCGATAGGCCTGTAGTTGGACGGATCTGAGCGGTCGCCTTTTTTAGGGATCGGATGCACAAAAGCTGTCTTCCATGAGTTCGGGACTACGCCTAGGGAGTAGGAGTACCGAAAAAGACGCGTTAAAACCGGTGCCAACTCCGGAGCACACGTCTTCAGCACAATAGGCGGGACTCCATCAGGCCCACTCGACTTGTTGACGTCCAGGGAGAGGAGTGCTTTACGCACCAAGCGCTGTGTAAACAGCACTTCCCCCATGGAGCACTCACACCGCGGGATGGTCGGCGGTGTGTTCCCCCGTCATCTAGAGTCGAGTTGGACGCAAAGAGAGAGCTCAGCAGATTGGCTTTTTCCTTTGCGGCATGGGCCTGTGAGTCGTCCTCTCTATAGAGATAGCGCTGGTGTTTACATCCCGAGACGTTGATGCGTCAGCCCAGGTCTGGTAGCACTCCTGCTTATAGCGTGATGTTATTTTACAGTAGTGACCAAACCATGGCTGGGATCTGCCTCCAATGGGCAGCACAGAGGATGGAATAAAAAGTTCCATACCCTGAAGTACCATATCAGCAACAGAATCGGCAACAACGCTGGGATCTTCCGGCGAGAAGCAAACCCGCCCCCAAGGGTAGGATGCAAAAAAAGACTGCATCCCGTCCTAATCGGCCGACCTATAGTGCCAAACACGGCGGCACGCTGCAGATCGCAACTGCGATGGGAGCATGAGTGGCACCGTACTCCGGATCAGGCAATGGTCCGAAGATCCCAGAGGGGCACCGACGGAAACCTGATATCCGCCCGGATGAGAGGTCAGCAGAATATCCAACAGGGAATGTATATGATCCTCCAAATCTGGGATCCGCGTAGGCGAAGTAACCCGTTGGGTTAGACCATATGCCAAGGCAAAGTCATACACAGATCTACCCGCATGATCGGTTAAACGGGAACCAAGCCATTCAGCGTGTATCACGATCTCTGCGGATGGAACCTGTTGTAGCACGGAGTCTGCAGCCATTTAGACGTGGTCGATGAGTCGGTCTGTGCCGGCATTACCGCTATGGGACCTATAAAGGCACCCGTAGACGCAGGGATGGTCGTCGCTGTCTATGCGCAGCCATAGGGTGGACAGGTCCATACCTTCGAGACTGCCGAGGCGTCGAAAACAGATGTCCTCTCTGACGTATACGCAAACTCCAGCCCGGGGCACAAAGGAGTGTTCATATTTGTACCCCGGGTAGGAGAGATATGAAGTATCAGCCGGAGAGGACACCTGAGTCTCGGTTAAAAAGCTCTACCACTTTTAAAATTATATTTTAATAACGTCATTTAGAGTGCTTTTCATCACTATGTTTAACGTCCTTATGTCAACTTAATTCGGATCATTCTAATCTACGTACTATTGCATAAGACTGTGCCTAGGCGTGGAAAAAATAGAGGCGGTTATTGAGTTTTTTTTTTAAACTTTACAATCAAAAAATATATTAAAATCTTACCTCCACCATTAAATCGCTGTAGCGATCGGCCTCTTGTGAATTGTTAGCACGGATCACCAATCTGTAATTAATTATATGTGTAAAATATTACATTAAAATAAGCAAATTATAAAAAAAAAACAGATATAATTTCAAGTTCAAAAACGCTGAGGTTTAATAATTATAATAATTCGACTGTATGTTTGTTTGTTTGTATGTTAGGAGATATCTTCGTCAATTGTGAACCGATATTGATGATTATTTTTATTGAATAAGATATACTTTAAGGGTGTTTCTATATACCTAAAAGAGAATGCCAGATCGTGCCCCACCTTGTACAAAAAAAGGTAAAAATATGAGAAATAATTTTATTATTTTTGAAGTATTTTGTGATAAATCGTTATTTTGTACAACTTGCGGTAAAATATTATTCAAGAAAAAAGGAATTCAACGATTAATATTTACATTTCCAGTCTTTTCTAATAACATCTGCGTTTCTTTGTCAAATACGTACATACGTACGCATAAAGTATCAAACAATACATATTTCTATTAATATATATTATAAGTCTTTGTCATATAAAAAAAAATATTTTCAATTATTATTATAAGTCGATAATAATCATAAATTGCATTAGATAATTACTGAATAACAATCATTGATTTTCGTGCATTTTGTAAAATGATATACACACGTCATTGTGCCAATATCGTATGTAAGTATGTCAAATTAATGTCGAATATTTTCACACATTGACTAATTTGTGCTTGTGAAATATATTGATTATGATTATATAAAATTTTTGGTTGTGCTGATTTCCGCTTTCTTTACCGTTGCATTTTTCCTGCTTTTGCTGACGACTTATGCTTTTATTAATATAGGAACTCGGTCACGCCAACTTATTGACTTACTGCTAATTACTACGGACATTCTGATAATTGCATTCACGATGTTGAGGTGGACTAATTGTCATCTTTGCGTCAATAAAGAAAAGAATAAAAAAAGATTTAAATATATAGTTACACTATAGAGCGGACATTGGGAACATTTATATACAAAATCTTTGAGCTAGTGCGCATGTGGCCCCCTCTAGCTAAAAATAGCAAAACAACGCTAAGCATTTATTAAGACAAAATTTTAGCTATTCCCCAGTAGGTGAAGCTAATAAATATAACCTCGTTTTAGGAATGTTGCCGTTTCGATATCAAAGTATCGACAATGTTGTTGAAAATTACTAAGTTTGAAATGCTTTTCGATATAATAACAGGGAATATACATGTTTGTTTTATTGTATAAATCTATTTTCCATGACTTCCATCACACGAAAAAAAATCAACTTTTTACGCCCTTTAGTATCATGAAATAAAATATTTAATTTCTAATAACTAAGAATCAGTTCAAACAGCAGTCACTTTGGTTGCCACCTTGGTGACATGACGTCACTCGGTTCATTAGCTGCTATAATAATAGCATATGATTGATCGGTCGGCGTTAAAGACACATCGAGAAACACCAAATCCAATAAGAGAGCGCCTCTATGTTTTTAAATTCGTTTCTATTACAAAAATTCACTTCAAACCCAAAATATTTTAGGAAAACACTGAACTTAAAAGCCGCTTCACGATTTTTCACGTTTCATCAGGTGCAGTACTTAAAGACACTACTAGTAGTTTAAGTTTTTACCTTATTTTCTAACTCAGGTTTAATCTACAACTTCTTGCATCTAATATCTTTAACAGCATAAATTGTTTTTAATGTATGAAATCTATTGCCTAATGGCTTTGTCCTTGAAAACCACCAGACAATGAAGCCTGGTGTAAAACCACCAGACAATGAAGCCTGGTGTAAAACCACCAGACAATGAAGCCTGGTAAGTAAAAGAGAAGACTTGCTGTATTGCTAAACATCAACACGGCAAGTATCCTCAGCATGCTCATAAGCAACACAGAAAATCTCATCAGCATGCCTAAAAAAATTACGACCCTTACTCCACATAAAGTAGGGTACTTAGCATAGTTGGTATATACTACTCATTTTTGTTCGTATGGGTACAGTATCGTTGACTGTTTTACCTCCTTAAATATTGTAAAGGATTAAATCGGCATCCTGTATAGTTTTTATCGATAATCCCAATCGATAAACGTCGTCAATCACTAACTTTAAAATTGGTAATTAATAGTGACGTTTACTGAATAGCGGAGGGCGCTTATTACAATAAAAATAAATGTTCTAGAACAATCTACTATAAATAATAAAATTTAAAGATTATTCGGTAAAATATGTTATATTTACGATAATAAACCGAAATCACGTTCATTTTTTGCTCCATATCGTGACTTACAATATGTTAATGCACAAACGGGCATATTTTCTTTGAAAATATTTTTTAAACATATGAAACGAATGCGTCTTGACTTTTTGACGATGTCACTAAGACTAAATGACAAAAATCGGAGATATATCCTATAGGACATAAGTTACAGACGACAATTTTGCTACTGATGTCTGGTCTATTACTACTACTACTTAAATGTCTTTGCGTCAATAGGATGCAGGGGCATCTTGTGTCCTCTTTTCGATTTACAATCTTAACTCTTCTTTCAATATGGAGATCTTTGCAACAGATATTATATGTAGTTTTATAGCTTTTTTATATAGTTGATAATTTATGAACCTGCCGGTGTCGTAAAATTTGTTACTAATCTGTAAATATTTACATCTTCTTCAGACACATGTCATCATAATAATATGTATCTTGAAAAATAATTTTGTAAATCATATTAATTAGATTTCATGAAAAACAAGTGGACAACACCTTTTAGAACCTATAAAAGAGAACCTTTTTTCCAATTTTACTGATCATTATATTATTATGCTCCTTAAATTCTTAAATTCTTATTTATATATATAATTAGCGCCTGACAATCTATATTCTGAAATTACAATGAACTGCAACGAATGCTGTTCTAAAAAATAAGGTAAATGTAATTATTAAAGTCCAGTTTAAAAAACATCGCAAGTTCTAGAGACATCAAATTATATAATTGGGATGAAGTAATAAAGTAGAAAAAAAAATTTTGCATACGGCATTCGTGTACACCACACTTTTGGTTGGGGCAAAGTTCTATAGAGAATCTGGCACTCTCCTGAAGAGAGAATAAATTCTACCCGTAGCGTTTGCAATATAGGTAATAAAGTTAGTACACTCAAAAGGGTAAAAAAAAAACTACTGAACATTGGGCCTTTCCCGTTGTTGGAAGGATTTTCCTTAATCTTCTCGCTCGGCAGGCGGATTGAAAATTGCAGTACGCACCTTCGACACCGCTGCTCCAATCCGGGTACTAGACATCCGACGTAAACGAGATATTTATAGCGGCATCTATCGGAAACCAAAAGATTTTTCTGGCATTTCGCATAGTAGTCTCTTTTTTATAGAATAAGGGTCCACGTAAGTGGACACTGCGGCCCATAGACATCTACATTTACCCTCGATTAAAAATCAAAATGAAAATGTGTTGTCAACCATAAGGACTAAGATGGAACGTCTCTTTTCTAGTAAAAAGGGTTTCCGGTTCTACACTCACAAATACGAAACACAGTAGCATTAAGCTGCTATTTAATGCTGGTATTCTGTGAGTGCTTGACCAACCCCGGGCGAGCCGACCCATACGTGCTACAACTGTGACGAACGGAACGAATCGGGGTAATAGATTCTCTTACCACCATAAAACCTAAAACGGCACTCGGCTAAAGGAATTACAATTGTATATTGGTACGTACCTAAAAATGCCATCTGCATAGTGTAACAGATTCTTCATTATTTTGAGTTCTCCCGTGACATTGTCCAAAACCATCACATCAGTTAAGTTGTTTAGGAGTAGTAAGGACTTAGATTTGATAGGGGACTCGAAGCTCATATTGACAATCTTATAATCTATGGGCAGAGCATCCGGGTCCTTGTCTATGGCACGCACTGTAGCAACGACCGTGTCGACGGGAACATTAAGTCGGATGCCAACGGTGAGGTTCTGGCTGCCGAAATCCGGCAAGTGATCGTCGATGTCCAATATTTTGACCAGCACTTGGATCTCTGATGGATCCTGAAATTTATAAATTGTCAACGTTTATAAATGAGAATATTCTAAAATTACGGTGCTCCTACGTATATAAGTGTTACATATGTTCAGATATCCAATCTGCAACGTTATTTTTTCTTAACGAATACTAGCAGTGCTATTAACATAACTGATATTCTAGTTAACCCCTTCTGTTAAATTTAAAATGCGTGTTTTAGGAGTAATTTATGACAGTAGTTGGCTGATTCGAAGACTCCACGTCATTCTTAGTCCGTAGCCTTAACCATTGGGAAACTGTCGCGTAAGTAGGAAAAGTTAGTGACACTTAACACTTTATTTCTATTCTTATATAAAACTAGGGTCACAAAGAGTACACAGTCCACCTGATGGTAATTAGATGTTGTGACCCAAATACGTAAATATTATCGTACATCGTAAACGCGGTTACTGATCATTAGGTCCTGAGTTTGAATCTCGGGTCGGGCCAACATCACATATGGGCTTTTTCTGATAAGAAATTCTCAGTAGGACCCCGGAGTCAGGAAGTTGGCGGTGTTTGACCCTCATGCCTCGAAAAGCACGCCAAGCCTAATCCCTCTCCGGTCGTGTCGGATTGCCGTCCCATCGGACCATGAGAGTGACGGAATAGAGAGTGCAGCTGTGGTTGCGCAAACATTCGTGCACTATAAGCCTGTCCTTCGCAGACAGCTAGTCCCCGTTGAGATAGGCCGTCGTGATAAAAATCTTTTATATACATTGAATTTCACCAACACGCGCTGTAGCAGCGCGATCACAGATTAACTAATACATATGTGGCGTTGCGCCACAAGCGAAATGCACCGAAGCCTAAATCACACTTTCAAAGTTCCGAAGTACCTGCGGTATATATATAATAGCTTTGTACTACCACACGGAGCATTTATCGCTCTCCAGGCGTATCGCCTTGCCCGGCGGGTGAACTCCCTTTTCTTTCCACGGCCATATGTATTACGTAAGCGCGACGGACTAATTATTCTATGATATTCATCATCACAAATTCACTGATGAACATAGGTCTCTCCCAAAGAATGTCTTAAAGCACGGTCCCGAGCCACCTGCATCCATCGAATTCCTACATGTTTTACCAGGTCGTCACTGCATGACGGCCAGCCCATTGCCACTCAGCTTACCAACCCATTGGGCTATGTCGGCTACTTTTGCTCTACAATTTCCTCAAAATGAGTGGAGGCCCCTATTTAACAGTGAGATGTACATATGCTGTTGTCCGTTATCGTGAATCTCCGAAATCCGTGAATCATGAAATATTTGATCATGCTGCGGATAAAACTTACCAAACGATTGTAACTCTTGTTTAATTTCGGAGTAGTGTCATATTTGAAGCATTTGATTGTGAGCAAAAGCCTGGATACGCTCTCTCTGTCCAGCCTGGCGGCCGCTATTATCAGCGCCTTGCTGTCATTTGTACGTTCCAACTTCACCAAAGCGAACTCGTTGCCAGCTGTCAAAAAATAAGTTTTATCTAAGCATATAAATAAAATTCAAGTGACTGTATGAAATATTGAAATAACTTTTTTTTTGGAGTTTATTGCCTGGTATACTAGACCTAGACCTTTAGGCCAAGAAATAACTTTTATTGAACTCAGATTAACTAACTAAGGGGGTTATTTGAATGTTATTAAGACATAACCAAATATTTTTTTTTAATTTTATCTGTCTGTCTGTCCGGGCTAATCTTCGGAATGGCTGAACCGAATGTAATGAAACATTTCGATTAGACAGACAGCAATGCCAAGAAGGTTCTAGGTTATATTTCATTCGAAAATTGAAGATGTTTTTTTATAAAAACGAAAAATTGATGAACGAAAAATAAATTGTCTTCGATTATCTAAGTAACGCCACATCAATACATTGTATCCAGGCGAAGCCGGGGCAGGTCACTAGTTATTAATAGAAACAGAAACTTTTTATCCAATATAGATAATAAATAATACTTAATGAAAATAACTCTTAATTTAGCACTCTGGTTTGAAAAAAAAAACTCTATAAAAGCTTTTAGAAAAATTTACTTCGCAAATATCCGCGTTATTTTATAACGCGGATATTTGCGAAGTAAATTTCTCTGTGGTATGTATTTCTATGTGGTAAGTGGTGTGTCTTGCCTAGTGTAGTGGTGTTGGGAGTAGCGGTGCTGGGATTAGTGGTGACGGGGATAGTGCACGCAATTGAGGGAGGGCGGGAGGTGCTCTTCATACTAGGTAAGACACATCATTTTATTTTATAAAGCGGATATTTGCGAAGTAAATTTTTCTAAAAGCTTTTATAGAGTTTTTTTTTTCAAACCAGAGTGCTAAATTAAGAGTTATTTTCATTAAGTATTATTTATTATCTATATTGGATAAAAAGTTTCTGTTTCTATTAATAACTAGTGACCTGCCCCGGCTTCGCCTGGATACAATGTATTGATGTGGCGTTACTTAGATAATCGAAGACAATTTATTTTTCGTTCATCAATTTTTCGTTTTTATAAAAAAACATCTTCAATTTTCGAATGAAATATAACCTAGAACCTTCTTGGCATTGCTGTCTGTCTAATCGAAATGGATTAAATATAATGGATTTCCGCAAAGTAGCGCCTGATTCTATTAATTATAAAAAAAAAACTCTGTCCTGGGAAGAATCAGCAAATAACACGGCGGGACTTTTGTGAAAAATAATTACTTACAGTCAAATATTATGTTACACAATTAACAACATAAAATGAATTAGAAATGAAAGATTGGTAGCGATGACGTCATTCTCAGGGGTTACAATCATCCATAAATCCCTTAATATTATAATATCCCTTTTTATAGGAACTTTGTGTAATAAAGATTTTGAACTTTCAGGAGGTCAAACTTTGTATATTTTCTGGGATTTTTTGCCAAAAGAGCAAATACATCGTACCAAGAATGAATTAATGACTTGGTGGAGTTGATTACGAGCTCGTGTCTGTTCCTAGTATTTACAGATTGAATATTACTTTTTTTAAACTACTTTTATTTTTGAATGTGTAAATACATTTTCTTAAATGTATTGAAAAGCCAAAGTTAATATATTAACTTCCTTAACTTTTTATCTAAGCGACTCCTTAGGTTTTAAACCATAGATTCCTCTTATGGCCCGGAGGTGTTAGACGTCTTGAAGTTAACAAAGGCTTCTTTGAAATATGAATTTTTTGGTATACATTCTGTTCGACGTTGTACCGACACTAAGGGGATGATAAACTGATAAGTGATAAGTCTGATAAAATATATTTTGGATAAGTTACAAATGTTAAAGGCTAGAATTACTGATAAAAATGAGTACGCGTAGCGCTCTTGATGGCTATAAACGAACTGATTTTGAAATACATTTGCCGTGGAAATATGTAAAAGAGGTCAACTTATGAAATGGTGACTTGACAATTGTACGTTGCATTTCATGTTCGTACACATTCAATCTATGCAAATAAAGAAAAATTAACGTGTCTTTTTACTAAATGCTTATGAAATTATATACGGTTTTTATAACAAAACACAATTTTTAAAATTTTTGTCTATCTGTCTGTTTGTTCGGTTAATTTCCGAAATGGCTGACCAATATTGACGGGATTTTTACTGAAAAATAGCTGATTTTATTAGGGGTAACTTAGGTTACTTATATTTTAGAAAAATAATTAGGGTTCCGTTCAAAAAATTAAAACCCTAAAACACACACGGGCGAAGTAGCGAGGAACAGCTAGTAAGAAATATAATTCACCTGTAATGGCGTAGTCTATAGCAGCGTTTTCTCCGATGTCTTCGTCTACGGCTTCAAGTTTTCCGATGACTGTGCCAATGGGCACTTCCTCCTTCGTTGTCATTAGGATTGGAGGATCGTCCTTTAAAAAAAATTGATATTTATGTTTTCTAAATGTACCGTTTAAGTAAGGGTATACAAGGAAGAATAAATTAATAATTTAAAATTAGTGATATGAATCATGATTCCAGAATAATATAAGCAATTTGGCACGACCTGGGAGGTACCTATATCTGGCAGTGGTCTGCCGTAGGTTTATGATGATGATAAGCAATTTTGCATAATTATGAAGATCATTTTCAGTTCACAACTACAGCTTATTTTGTGTTTGTGATGTTGTAATTTGATTAACATAATGTAAACAAGAATATGGTCCCACGGATATGTTAAATCGCATTACGTAGCACTTTCCCGTTTCTTTGACAATATAGTTTTGACTGTCTTACGTAAAACATGTTTTTTAAAATCCCTAAAACAATAACATACCTTTTTTATTGTATAAGGGTGACGAACGACCTCACAGTCCCCTGATGGTAAGTGGTTGCTGTGGCTCGTACACATCTACATCTATCCTCGATTACGAATCAAAATGCAGATGCGTTGCCAACCCTGAGGACTAAGATGGAATGCCTTGTTTCCAGTAAAAAGGGTCTTTGGTTCTCTACACTCACCATACAAAACACGCAGCGTCAAGCTGCTATTTTACACTGCTGTTCTGTGAGAGCGTGGTCCTACCCCGATCGAGCCGATCCGTTTGTGCTACAAATATACTACTAATATAGCCGCGGCATGACTCTACCACCGCTACCACGTGAAAACCTCAATGTCAATAGGTCGTTTAATCTATACAAATAAATAAAATTGAAGTGTCTGTTTGTAATGTCAAAATTACAGTTTTTTACTAAATGCATATGAAAGTAAATACGGTACCTATAACTAAAATACAATTTTTAAAATTTTTGTCTGTCTGTCTGTCTGTCTGTCTGTCTGTTTGTTCCGGGTAATCTCCGAAACGGCTGGACCGATTTTGACGGGACTTTCACTGGCAGATAGCTGATTTCATAAGGAGTAACTTAGGCTACTTTTATTTTAGAAGAAAATTAGGGTTCCGCGCAAAAACATAAAAACCCTAACACACGAACGAAGTCGCGGGGAACAGCTAGTAAAAAAATAAACTTCTTTTATTATATCTTGTATTTGCCATTATGTTTTGCTGGGTTATTAGTAAACGAAAATAGTTCTTCTTAGTAAGAGATTGGAATACATTTAATGAACTCTTTCGGTAATGTCTCTGTGGTGTAGTAGTCTTAGCATTGAGAAGCAGCGTTGAGGGGCGCTATTTCGAATCCCTCACGGGACAAGTGTTTGTATGGCATCGGGTCTGGATGTTCGTTCTTGTGTAATTTATGTATGAAAACTCCCTCTACAATACAGGAGAAAATCCTAGTGCGGGGGTGACGTTTAAAAAAAACATAATCCCTTTTCCGCATACCATTTTTTGTATCAGGTGCTACAAACAGGTAACTTTGTAAACTACGTAAATGCTTAGAGCGTCTTGTTTCAACTATAACAGTAACGGTAAGGAGTGGCGTGCACTGACCAGGGCCCTGGCGAAGTGCGGCTTGTGGTCGTCGACATCGTCGAGCGCGATGCTGACGACGCGCGTGGCCTGCTGCGGCGGCGCGCCGCGGTCCGTGGCGCACACCACCAGCGTGTACGCGCCCTGCCGCTCGCGGTCCAGGCTCTGCCGCGTCGTGATTACACCAGTTTGAGGGTCTGCAAGAATCAATATATATAGTTAAGTGTACAGTAATAAGGATGTCTTCTGTTTAATTTTAACTAATACAAGTGATAAAATTAAAAAAAATGCACAACCGACTTCAATACAAATAAAAGGTCATCAATGTAATCATCATTTCATCATTACAGCCCTTCACAAGTCCACTGCTGAACATAGGCCTCCCCCAAGGAATGCCACAAAGCAAGGTCCCAAGTCACCTGCATCCATCGACTTCCTGCATGCCTTAATAGGTCGTCACCCCATCTAGTGGGAGAACCTTTCTTCCTCATCGGTTGTCGGTGCTTCGAGCTATATAGCCGGCCCATTGGTTACTCTGGTTCTACTACGGATATCCTCATGTCTAAGTTTATTACGTTGAGAAACCCCGAGCATAGCGCTATCCATAGCTTGCTGAGCGACCTTGAACTTCCTCATATGGCCAGCAGTGAAGGACCACGTCTCAGATCCATAGGTCATCACTGGCAACACGCACTGGTTGAACAATATAGTTTTGAGGTTTTAAGGTTCTAACGAGAAGATGTGTGATAATCTCCCGAACTCTGCCCAGCCGAATTTAATCCATATAATAGAATATAATCCATTGATTGAGCTCTCGGTCGAACCTGGACTTACCTAATCGGACTATTCGTCCCAGGTTTCGGTTTCGCTTCCAATAACTACCGGCATACGTGTGACATGGACGTTAAACATGATTCTTATTTTATCCATGTCCATCTTAAGACCTATCCGTAGGGAGACACTGTAGTCAATGTAGTCAAAGTCTATTAAATACGCATTATTAAGGTTAACTCAAAAACTACTGGTCAGATCTTGATCATTATGGATCTTAATATATATAATTTTATATGAGACCACGTGAAAAGCACCAGCTTTTAAATAAAAAAAAATCACCCAAATCGATTCACCTAGAAAAAAGTTCTGAAGTAAACACTTAAAAAATACAGTTGAATTGAAAAGCTCCTCCTCATAGATTAATGATAAGTCATCGTGTGCTCTGACTAGATACCGCGCTCCCTACAAGTAACAGCTCCATGAGTGCGGCATCTTAATATTGTAGTGTGTATAAGACAATTTGCATGATGCTAGTGTGCGTGAAAAATTGTATATGCCTTCAGCTTAACTATTACCCGACTAACGGGAAAATTTATTTTATGCTATGGCTTAGTAGTTAAGTTCATAGTTATGAATGTATTCCAGAAATAATTAAAAATGAATAGTTTATTAATAACGAATGTATCAATATATTTGTGTATATTATGTATAGGTTTTTCTTCTGAATAAATGACATATAAATGATAAGGCCTCCTTTTTATCAGTTTAATTTTTTTATTTACATGTCTAACTAATATTCACAAAATATTGAAAAAAATTGTTGTAATAGTGTAATCCAAATAGGGCTTTCTATTCTACGCGTCAATATGAACAACTTTTACTACAGATCTATCTTCCTAATCGCAAGAAAAATCAGGTCTTCCATACATTTCGAGCAAGTTTTTACGAAATTTTGTATGGAATAACTGACTTTAAGATATTTTTTATAGGATCAGGGTGACAAACGAGCACTCATTCCACCTGATAGTAAGTGGTTGCTGTGGCCCATAGACATATACATCTATCCTCGGTTAAGAATCAAAATGCAGATGCGTTGCAACCCGTGAGGACTAAGATGGAATGCCTCGTTTCCAGTAAAAAGGGTCTCCGGTTCTCTACACTCACCATAGGAAACACAGCAGCGTTAAGCTCCTATTTTACACTGAATTTCTGTGAGAGCGTGGTCCGTCCCCGGTCGAGCAGACCCATTCGTGCTACAACTATACCAGTAATATAGCTGCAGTATGGGTCTATCACGTATAAATTGAAAGTTTCGAAGATGATCCCATAATAAAAAATATTCATGTTGACGGGCAGAATCATTCCCTAAGTTATTAAGTACTATTTTGTTACACCTTTAGTTAGTATATAAGACTGGGGAAAAAGTTTCTTCGTATATTGTATACAAATTCAAGACATTTTGTGTTAAAGTTTTATTACATTTAATTATAATATATATGGGTCCATTCTGTTCGATAATTTGTTACCATCTTGTAGGTATTGACATAATAAAAAATAAACGTTGCTGTAGAAATCTTGGGATTTTGATTAAAAAAATGCGACAAGTAGTTTTATTTGATATATTCAATACCAGATATTTGAAGGAACATGGATTTAGTCATCCCATTTATAACGGAAAAAAATTATAAAATTAAATATTAAAACCTCCAGAAAGCTTTCTTTTAAAGAACACAAGCAACAAAAGAAATTAATGACTAAAACTTTTAAACCAGTTTTAAGTACTCAAGCAAATACTGGATTTTTAGGAATGTTAGTGTGTATTGAAAGTCTCAAATAGATAACAAATCTTGTGATCTGGCGTTATCATGATAAAAGGCCACTCCTTTTCTGATTATCAATGCCAGCAGTTTTTTTTTCTATTTCTTGCTTGTCTCATTATTTATTGGTAGTAGAGATCCGAATCGATGGTTTTATCCGGCGGTAAATGCTCATGATAAACTTTCAATACCACCATACACACAGCATCATTTTATTGCGTGTTAATCCAGGTTTCGCTTTAGTATATAAATAAACTAAAATAAAAAAAAAATATATTAAAAAAAAGCCTTTAATTCCATGAATTACAATGATTTTCCAGCTTTGAAATATTATACAACAATTCAATTCAGATTCCCTAGATCAAATGATAACATGAATTAACATACTAATTAATTATTATTTAATAAAATATATGACATTTAGCTCAGAGTACTATTAACTATTGACCCAATCAATAATGGAGTCAGTCAATCTTACCTTTCTCCCACTAGGGTCTACTCATCACAATGTCAATACCGATGACTCCTTAATTGATCTTATTCTTGCTGCTTCTCCTGAGCATGTTGTGTCACACGGACAGCTGCCTGCTTTGGGTTTTTCGCGTCACGGCCTTTTATACGCTTTTTATAAGCTCAAACCCCCAAAGCGCTCTTGTCCTTTACTGCCTGTACGCAATTTTTCTAAAATTAATTACGATAAGCTAATGAGTGACGCTCAAAATCTCAATTTATCTTGTTTGGTAGCGGAACCTACAATTGACGGTAAAGTCTTTTTTCTTAATGATAAAGTTCTCAGGTTGTTTGATGCTCATGCTCCTGTCCATAACGTCCGGTTGAAGCGTCCTCCCGCCCCTTGGATGACTGAGGGCGTAAGAAAGGCAATGGTAAGACGGAATCGAGCCTTTCTTAAATTCAAGAGGGAACGATCTGAAGAAAACTGGTCAAGCTTTAAATCTGTCAGGAATAGGTGTAATCAGATGGTACGTGCTGCTAAACGCCAATATTTTCATAACTGTATAAATGATTCATCTCCTACCGAAGTGTGGAAATTCCTCAGAACTGTGGGTATTGGCAGGCCATTCAAGGTGGACTGTGGTCTTTCGATATCTCTCGATGAGATTAATCAACATTTCGCTTCCTTCAAAGCAATGGAGCCTTTAGTCCGAACTAACACTTTAAATGCTATTGCATCAATGCAATCTCCTCACATTCCAGCATTCATGTTCTCTCCTGTCGAGCAGGATGAAATCAAGAAGTTTATTTTAGCAATCAAGTCTAAGGCTCTGGGCTGCGATGAAATAAGCAGACAAATAAATGGTCGTCACTATCTTAGATCCTCTTCTCCCGGCAATAACTCACATTATAAATTTTTCCCTTGACTCGGGGCAATATCCTAGTCATTGGAAAAAGGCTTATGTTAAGCCCCTTCCTAAGGTATCTGCTCCTATCCTTCCCAGCCATTTTCGTCCTATATCAGTTCTGCCGTTCCTCTCTAAAGTTTTAGAAGCCCGTGTTCATAAGCAAATCACTACGTTCATCTTGAAACATAACCTACTGAGTCCATTTCAGTCCGGGTTTCGTTCAGGTCACAGCACTACCACTGCTTTAATAAAAGTCACTGAAGACATTAGAAAAGGTATGGACGAAAAAAAGATAGCAGTGCTAGTTCTAGTAGACTTTTCTAATGCTTTTAACACAGTTGATCATGATATCCTTCTTTCCATCCTATCCCATCTTAATTTTAAGCCCACTGTCTTAGATTGGTTTGCATCATATCTTCGCGGGCGTCAGCAGTCAGTTCACGTAGGTCATATGACCTCAGCTTGGGCTGAATTTGAATGTGGCGTACCGCAAGGCGGTATAATCTCTCCTATCATTTTCTCAGTTTTTATAAACTTGATCACTCATAATCTTGATTACTCATATCATCTGTACGCCGATGATCTGCAGCTATATGTGCATTGTGGCGTTGAAGAACTACATAATGGAATTCACAAATTAAACCAGAATTTAGATACAATTAAAGATTGGTCCTCGCGCTACGGAGTCTGTGTGAATCCAGTAAAATGCCAAGCGATTTTAGTGGGAAGTAAAAAGATGCTGGCTAAGGTTAATCAAGCAGACTTACTTCCTGTTTGCTATGATAATATCATTATTCCATTTAGTGAGTCTGTTAAAAACCTTGGCTTGTATATTGATAGCTCTCTGAAGTGGAAAGTGCAGGTTACCGATTTAAGTCGGAAAGTCATTGCCACCTTACGTTCCCATTATCGTCTCAAATACTTCCTTCCTATTAAGTCTAAGCTCATGCTTGTCCAAACTCTTATTTTACCTATCTTTGATTATGCAGATGTGTGCTACCCAGACCTGTCCCAAGAACTTCTTAACAAACTGGAGCGCCTGCTTAACAACTGTATTAGATTTATTTTTGGTCTGCGTAAGTATGACCATATTTCTCATTATAGATCTCAGCTTAAGTGGCTTACCATAAAGCAAAGGCGCAACTCCAGAATACTACTTGTGTTTTTCTCAATTCTTAATGATCCATATTCACCTTCTTACCTCAAAGAACGATTTCAATATCTTTCTTCTTGTCATGATAGGGT